TGTCTCTCTCTTTCCTCTTACACACACCAGGCTGTCTCTCCTACCCTCACACACCAGGCTGTCTCTCCTCTCCTGACACCAGGTTCTCTCTCTCTCTCTCCACACACACCAGGCCCTCTCTCCCTCCCCTCACACACCAGGCTCTCTCGCTCCCCTCTCCTCCAGGCTCTCTCTCTCCCTCCTCACACAGGCCATTCTCCCTTCCTCACACACCAGGCTCTCTCTCCTCTCCACCAGGCCGTCTCTCCTCCCTCCCTTTCAGGCTGTCTCTCTCCCTCTCTCACCCCCCAGGCTGTCTCTCCCTTCTCACACACTAGGCTGCTCTCCTCCCCTCACAAACCAGTCTCTCTCCTTCTCTCAGACACCAGCCCGTCTCTCCTTCCCTCACACACCCAGGCTCTCTCTTTCCCTCCCTCACACACACACCAGTCTCTCTCTCCTCATCTCTCCCTCACACCCAGCTCTCTCTCCCCTCTCTCACACACCAGGCTGTTCTCTTCCTCCCCTCCCAGTTCTCCTCTCTCTCCTCTCACCCACCGGACCGTCTCTCCCTCCCACACACCCGGGTCTCTCTCTCTCCCTCTCCCACACACCAGGCTCTCTCTCTCCCTCCCCTCACACACCAGGCCGTTCTCTCTCTCCCTCACACACCAGTCCTCTCTCCTTGTCTCAGACACCAGGCCGTCTCCTCCCCTCACACAGACCAGTCTCTCCCTCCGCCCACACACCAGGCCGTCTCCTCTCTCACACATCAGGCTGTCTCTCTCCTCCCCATACACCAGGCTGTCTCTCTCTCCTCACACCAGGGTGTCTTTCTCCCCTTCACACAAAGGCTGTCCCTCTTTCCCCTCACACCAGGCCGTCTCTCCCTCCCCTCACCAGGCTGTCCTCCTTCCTCCAAATACAGGCTGTCTCTCTCCTCCCCTCACACACACAGGCTCTCTCTCTCCTCCCCTCACCTAGGCTCTCTCTCTCCCCCTCACACACACCGCTGTCTCTCCCACCCCTCACACCAGGCTGTCTCTCTTCCTCCCTCCCCACACCAGGCTGTCTCTCCCTCCACACACCAGGCTGTCTCTCTCCCTCCTCACAGACAGTCTCTCCCCCTCCCATCACACCAGGCCGTCTCCTCCCCTCACACACCAGGCCGTCTCTACTCCCCTCTGGGCCGTCTCTCCCTCCCCTACACAAACCCTCTCTCTCCCTCCCCCTCCCCCCAGGCTTCTTTCTCCCTCCCCTCACACACCAGACTCTCTCTCCCTTCCATCTCCCACCAGGCTGTCTCCTTCCCCCTCCCCTGAGCTGTCTCCTCCCCTCCCTCACACAGGCTGTCTCTCTCCCCCTCCCCTCACACACCAGGCTGTCTCTCTCCTCCCCTCACACACCAGGCTGTCCTCTCCTCCTCACACACAGGCTGTCCTCTCCCTCCCACACACTGGGTGTCTCTCCTCCCCTCACCAGGCTGTCTCTCTCCCTCCCATCACTAAGCTGTCTCTCCCTCTCACTCTGTCTCTCTCCTCTCACACAGACTTCTCCTTCATACACAGGCTGTCTCTCCTTCCCCTCACACAGTCTCTCTCTCCTCCCCCTCACATCCCAGGCTGTCTTCTCTCACACAGGCCTGTCTCTCCCTCCCATCCCCACACACCGGCTGTCTCCTTCCCCTCACACCAGGCCCTCTCTCCTCCCATCACCAGGCTCTCTCTCTCCTCCCCTCACACACCAGGCTGTCTCTTCCCCTCACACAAGGCTCTCTCTCCCCCCCCATCACTAGGCTGTCTCCTTCCCCTCCCACCAGGCTCTCTCTCCTCCATCACACCAAGGCTGTCTCTCCTTCCCCTCAAGGCTCTCTCTCTTCCTCCCTCACACCAGGCTGCTTCCTCACACACCAGGCCTCTCTCTCCCTCCCCATCCCACCAGGCTGTCTCTCCTTCCCCTCCCACACCAGGCCCTCTCTCTCCCTCCCATCCCCACACACACGCTGTCTCCTTCCCCTCACACTAGGCCCTTCTCTCCTCCCCTCACCAGGCTCTCTCTCCCTCTCTCCCCTAGGCTGTCTCTCCTTCCCCTCACACACCAGGCCCTCTCTTCCCTCCCATCACCTAGGCTGTCTCTCCTTCCCCTCACCACCAGGCTCTCTCTCTCCTCCCATCACACACTAGGCTGTCCTCCTTTCCCCTCCACTCAAGGCCCTCTCTCTTCCTCCATCACACACCTAGGCTGTCTCTCCTTCCCCTCACACACACTCTCTCCTTCCCTACACTAGCCTCTCTCCCCCTCACCAGGCTCTCTCTCTCCCTCCCATCACCTAGGCTGTCTCTCCTTTCCCCTCAAACATCAGGCCCTCTCTCTTCCTCCCATCACACACAGGCTGTCTCTCTTCCCCTCACACACAGGCTCTCTCTCTCCCTCCCCATCACACACTAGGCTGTCTCTCCTTCCCTCACACACCAGGCTCTCTCTCTCCCTCCCATCACACTAGGCTGTCTCCTTTCTCAAACACCAGGCCTCTCTTCCTCCCATCACACACTAGGCTGTCTCTCCTTCCCCTCACACACCAGGCTCTCTCTCTCCCCCTCCCATCACAGACTGTCTCTCCTTCCCCTCACACCAGCTCTCTCTCTCCCTCCCCTCCTAGGCTGTCTCTCCTTTCCCTCAAACCTCTCTCTTCCTCCCACATCACTAGGCTGTCTCTCCCCTTCCCCTCACACACCGAGCCCTCTCCCTCCCATCACACTAGGCTGTCTCTCTTTCCCCTCACACACCAGGCCCTCTCTTCCCTCCCTCACACACCAGGCTGTCTCTCCCTCCCCCACACCGGGCTGTCTCTCCCTCCATCACACACTAAGGCTGTCTCTCCTTCCCCCTCACACAGGGCCTCTCTCTCCCTCCATCCCCACCACCAGGCTGTCTCCTTCCCCTCACACCAGGCCTCTCTCTCCCTCCCCTCCCACACACCAGGCTCTCTCTCTCCCTCCCATCACACACTAGGCTGTCTCCTTCCCTCACACCAGGCCCTCTCTCCCATCACACTGGCTCTCTCTTAGAGCCTCTCTTCCTCCCCATCACACACACCAGGCTGTCTCTCCTTCCCTCACACACACAGGCTCTCTCTCTCCCTCCCATCAGACACTAGGCTGTCTCCCTCCTCTCCTCACACACACCAGGCCCTCTCTCCCTCCCCTCACACACCAGGCTGTCTCTCCCTCCCACGACACACCAGGCTGTCTCTCCTCCCCCTCACACACTAGGCTGTCTCTCCCCTCCCATCACCACCAGGCTGTCTCTCTTTCCCCCTCACCAGGCCTCTCTCTCCCTCTCCCCACATACCAGGCTGTCTCTCCCTCCTTCACACCAGGCTGTCTCTCCTCCCATCACCACCAGGCTGTCTCTCCTTCCCTCAGCCCTCTCTCTCCCCTCCCCACATACCAGGCTGTCTCTCCCTCCCCTCCCACACACAGGCTGTCTCTCCCTCCCATCACACACGGGCTGTCTCTCCTTCCCTCACACACCAGGCCCTCTCTCTCCTCCCCTCACACACCAGGCTGTCTCTCCTCCCATCACAAACTGTCTCCTCCCCTCACACACCAGGCTGTCTCTCCCTCCCATCCACCAGGCTGTCTCTTCTTCCCCTCACAGGCCTCTCTCTCCCCTCTCCTACCAGGCTGTCTCTCCCTCCCTCACACACCAGGCTGTCTCTCCCTCCCATCACACACCAGGCTGTCTCTCCTTCCCCTCACACACCAGGCCCTCTCTCTCCCTCTCCCCGCATACCAGGCCGTCTCTCCCTTCCCCACGCACCCTTCGTTCACACGTTTACAAATGCTCATATTAGTACATAAGCAAATTAAAACTTACACTTATCAGCACTTACACAAGTATATCAACATATAGACAGATTAACACACACACACACACACACACACACACTAACATATACACATTAACATATACATGTTAACATATACACACATTAATAAACTTAAATTAACACATATTATATCACATGTTAATATATACTTATCCCTGTCTCATATCTCTACTTCTCACACTCCGTTATCTCTTCTTCCAATTTCATTCACCAAGACGTGTGTAACTTATCTTCCGAATCACTATCTAAAACGTTGTCATCTGGAAACAGTATCCCTCTTCATATTTCACATTTCCCCATTCAATAAAATACTTTAGGAACATGGCGATAAGATTAACCTAACCTGGCCTAACCGAACCTAATCTAACCTAACCTAACTTGACCTAACCAAACCTAATCTAACCTAACCAAACCTATCCTAACCTAACCAAACCTAACCTAACCTAACCTAACCTAACCTAGCCTAACCTAGCCTCGCCTAGCCTAACCTAACCTAGCCTAACCTAACCTTCCACTCGGCGGTTCTCCCTAGTCTGATACCTTGTGTTAGAACAATAAATACTATAAAGAAGATGTTCTCTTCCTACAGAAAATATTTACTCATGTTCTTTACCGGGAATAAGTTAACTTAGATTAGGTTTAGGTTAGGTTAATGTGGGTGTTATTCATTTATAGCCTCTGTAATATTAATATACGCCATTGTTTATATTTTACAAATCAATTCAAATTTTAGAAGAAATTAAAGATATGTTAAAATTATCTCTTTGGTGAATAATTAAGTCCTTCACATGACACACACTTGATGGGGGTGTACATTCGTTGCCTACATATGAAATAAATGAATAACTGGTAATGCTTAACTCCCTATCAGCATTAACAATTTTAACAGCCTCACAATACCAGGTGTTCTTATTACTAATGTTAAACTTACCTCGAGTGAAGACTTTCATGTAACAAGATGATTGCTAAATGATCCCTCTACAGCAGACTCTTTTTGGTTCTCTGCTGTCTACATATTTCTCTGCCAAAACTGTAACATTTTAGGCCCGGTCCCGTCCTTTACTATTATTACCCGTTGCAAGCATACTTTCTCCCGCCCCTCCCACACCCTCCGCCCCCTCACTGGGCTGGGTATATGAAGGCTAAATCCGGGTGCCATCCCCAGGTGCCCTATACTCCGTGGTCACGACGGTGGTGTGTCTGTGGTGGGGCTGTGAAGCTTGCAGTAAGTCTTCAACTGTCTGTTCCTCTGTGGAATATTGTACCAAGTGTGTCTGTGAAGTGAAAATATTTGAAGAAACCAAAATTCAGTCAATCAATTAGTTCTAATTCGGTGACACTGTGTCTTCACTATAACGGAAATATTAGATATCTTAAAGTAATATATTGTATATGGCGTCTCATACTTGCTAAGTCAGGTATTCCGAGCGGAAGAGCCTTTCCAGGTACTTTTTATATACTGTACATAATTCACGACTATTATTTAAGAAGGAAAACATTCGCGACATATTATGGAGAGTTCTACAGTTTGTGAGCTTTTAATACGAGTGAAGCAACTGTTTGTCAAATATATAATATCAGAAACTACTGTTGGCCTCAGGCGAAAGTTGGCAGCCGGCACGCGAAGTGAAGATAGTGAGCGACAAGATAGTGGGTGGAACAAGAGAAAAAGAGCGTATAATAGTCTTAAATGTGATTAAGTTCTGAGCAATAAGCCATTTGTCAGGAACCACAGTGATAAGATACTTGTCAGTGAGTTATGATGATGTTCCTGTCTTGTTGTCTGCGGCAGTGTTGCAGTTTCACATCCTCCTCGACTGTTTGTAAAATGAATCTGATGTTCCAATTAAATTCTAGTCTTACAAATACTTTGGTGATGTGATCAATATTTGTCTTGATAATTATTATCTTGTGAAAAAAATGTGGTAGCTTTATGGATATTTCGGAAAATATGAAATGTTTTTTGGTTAATAAACAGAGGAAAACATTTCGGGATATAACTACCAGTAACGGCTTTACTGAAGCTCTATCGGGCGAACAGTCGGATAGTTTAACTCGTCGTCGCGTTTCTGGCGTTATGACTTTCTTGGCATCGGAGTACAGAATAAATAATCTGTTTCTCAGTATTCAGACAGCGGAATATTGTAATAATAATAATAATAATAAGCAAAATTTTGTTTTCTTTTTAATTATCAAAATTCATACCGAACATTTAACCCCAACTAAATATCAGCACAAATTAGAGTTATGAGTCTCTTGTAAATCTGTTCGGTTATTGCGTTTGAAGATATAGTTTACCAAATGAGAGTTCTTTCAGAGCACTATGTTCTTGGTTGTGACCGTTTCCCCGATTGTCAGAAAAGTGGCCAATTACATATTTTTTTCTCCTTACAGGAAGGTTCAAGAGCCGTACCATAGTATCTGTGAGTCTTACTTCGACAGCTTTTAAGCATCCACCACCAACATGCCTGGCCACGTTAAGAAGTCCACGGGTCCCGATCCAGATCCCTCCGAGTTCCTTTACATCTCCCTAGAACAGAAGCGTCTTGACCAGACCAAGCCTTATGACTCTAAAAAGTCCTGCTGGGTTCCCGATGAGAAGGAGGGCTTCTCGGAGGGTGAGATCCAGGGCACCAAGGGCGACCTTGTGACTGTTATGGTCAGGGGTGAGACTAAGAACTGGAAGAAGGACCTCGTACAACAGGTCAACCCGCCCAAATTCGAGAAGTGTGAGGACATGTCCAACTTGACCTACCTCAACGATGCCTCCGTCCTGTACAACTTGAAGGCCCGTTATGTTACCAAGCTCATCTACACCTATTCCGGCCTCTTCTGTGTTGTCGTGAACCCCTACAAGCGGTACCCCATCTACACCAACCGTGTGGTCAAGATCTACCAGGGCAAGAGGCGTAATGAAGTGCCTCCTCATTTGTTCGCTATCTCTGACGGTGCCTACATGAACATGCTTCAGAGTAAGTCAGAATGGTCCTCATTTGTAATTCAAGTTCTCTGAATTTCATATAACAATCAAATAAACAAAGGCTAAAAAGAGGTTGGAATTTTGTCAAACTTCTTATTGTGATAAAATATACAATATACTGAATAATCTAGTAAAGTACTTCCATAAATCTGCTTGGGATTGTTATTTTCTGTCGAAATACATTCTTTAATTTACACAATATCTTTCCCTCGCAGCTGGCGAAAACCAGTCCATGTTGATTACGTAAGTTCTGGCTCACTTCTTTGTCTCTCTTGATATATATGTTAAGTTAAATTTTACAGTAATGACCTGTGATAAACTGCAGTTGCAATGGAGTAAACATTTGCAATTGGTGATATACACTTTCCCCAGCCTCGCCCTGACATACATCATATATCTTCCCTGAGGGTGAAATTTCACCCTAGTTTCAGACTAACCTGTTGCTCTTGTTTAGATATTTATATAAGCTTATTTCCTACCACAGCGGTGAGTCTGGTGCTGGTAAGACAGAGAACACCAAGAAGGTACTCTCCTACTTTGCCAATGTCGGCGCCAGCACCAAGAAGGTCGCCGAAGATACTAAGCCTGTAAGAATAATACTGAGTTTACAAACTACTTATGAATACACTGACTAATGTATATTCTTTTTGTCGAATACTTTGCCAGATTGATTTTCTCTGTTCTTACTGACACTTCACCACCTTCTCGTACAGAACCTCGAGGACCAGATCGTCCAGACCAACCCTATTCTGGAGGCCTTCGGTAACGCCAAGACCACCCGTAACGACAACTCCTCCCGCTTCGTAAGTCCCATATTTCTGTGTCATTTCTGTAAATTCATGATTAAGAAACCTGCTGCCATTGATGCCTTTATTTCACAACAGACCTTACTACTAAATATTTAATATTCACTTATAACACTGTGTTTTATACAGGGTAAGTTCATCCGTATCCACTTCGGCCCCAGCGGCAAGCTGTCCGGTGGTGATATTGAGGTCTACCTGCTGGAGAAGGCTCGTGTCATCTCCCAGCAGGCCGCCGAGCGATCCTACCATATCTTCTACGAGATGATGTCCGACCAGCTTGAATGGATTAAGCGTAAGTATCAGTTAACAGTCACACAGTAGAATGATTGCATTATAACCAACGTTTAAAGTCATAGAATCTTCCAGGCCTTCAAACTGATACAGATAAAAGTGAAAATAATGCTCATAATTGAAACCATTTATTTTCATTCCAGTGTTTACATTATTGAACATCACCATTGATTAGTTTTATTGTGAGGATAATTGTCTTCATTGGTCTAGAATAAGCAGGAGAATTGCATCTCTTATATTAATGTAAATGTTTTTAGTATTTATCTAGAAATATTATTCCGAATTGTGTTCCTTCTTTTTTAACCTGGAGAGAAATTACCTTAGATAGTAAGTCCGGATTGTCTTTCTGTGTGTTTCTTTAGAAATTTTTTACCGTATGTTCTGATATATTTTACTCAATTATAAATGAATACCTCTATTGTTTAAAAATTAAACTGTTTTCTCAACTGTAATATTAATTAAATACATGTGGAACATTTTCAGATGAAGTTTAGTTATTTCAGCATATATATATATATATATATATATATATATATATATATATATATATATATATATATATATATATATATATATATATATATATATATCTTGATAAAATCACACGGGAAAAGAGAAACAACGGAGCACCTTAGCTTTCGTCTTTATTCAAGACATCTTCAGAGGCAACTGGATTACATGGACAGAGAGAGGCTTAAATATACAGGGTGACCTTAAAAACATGAGGTCAGGTCATAATGATGTCATCCACTAATCCCCACACCAACACACACGTAGAGGAGCTTAAGAAAAGGGGGGTGACGTGACTAGTCAGGTCAGGTAAAAAATAAGGGACCCACAAAATAACTATCATACAACTATATCAAAGGTTTTCAAAGCATTTTTAACCTTGGTCCACTTATCCACGTTTTCATTGTGGATCTACATGATATATATATATATATATATATATATATATATATATATATATATATATATATATATATATATATATATATATATATATATATATATATATATATATATATATATATATATATATATATATATATATTTATTTATTTATTTATTTATTTATTTTATTTATTTATTTTTTTTTGTTCAGATTTTTAGTTAGTCAAAGATTTTATATTACAATGTGAATGAGATCTTGAGATTTTTTATTTGTTATGCACTTAGGTTAAGAGGACCCCAGAAAAAATATTGAGCTCCACTTTATATTGCAAAGACTAGTGTACCTTAATTCTTATCATACGACGGAAAATATCTGAAACCTGGTTGTTTCTTTCCACTAGGCAGTTGTTGCTTTGGTCAGACTTAAACTTGGGGATTTAGAACCTGCTCTGTCAACTTACTCTCATGTAGCTGTTTAACTCACAATGACTTCTTCAAAGTGAAATGACAGCTAAGATTGTAAGGGAACCTCATATATTCTGAAAGTCAATGTCTGTTGCACCCATCTACTTTCAGCAAATTGTTGTCTTAGTAACGACATCTACGATTACCATTACGTATCTCAGGGCAAGATTACTGTTCCCTCCATTGATGACAAAGAGGACATGCAGTTCTGTGACGTAAGTAATTCGGGTAGAAATGTGATTCGTGAATGGGACAAATATGTCAAGTAATTCGAGAGACTTTTACCCCCACCCCTGGAGTAGGTATTCTAACAACCCAAGACGGACCTCAAAAGATATATACAACTATCTTATCCCTCTCCCCTCTTCACGGTTTTGTGTGCCCTCCTCTCCCTCCCGAGTATACAGTATTAGTCCTTTCTATTTTTTCACCCTTGACTTCCTTACACCTACAGCCTCATGTAGTCTGAGCAACGACATCCACGATTATCACTACGTGTCCCAGGGAAAGGTCACTGTGCCTTCCATTGATGACAAAGAGGACATGCAATTCTGTGACGTAAGTAGTTACACCCAAGGAGCTAAAAGGAGGAACTTGTGAAGCTCATAGCGATACTTCATTTGCCTTACGCTGATTTAGAACATAGAGCAGCTGCAAGAGTCGCAGTCATTACCGGCCATAGTTTCTTCTAGACAACTGATTGCTACATCTCTACTCTATTCTACTCTACTCTGGCCAAAACTGAAAAACAAAATCAGAGGGCCTGCGTGACGTTTAGCTAAAATTGTAGATCTTTAAGGAAATACCTAAAGAATCAGGTGCACTAACACAATATATGTATATTTAATATACATATTATTTCTTACTATTCTTCTTCACAAATTAACTTATCCTAATTACCTCTGCCTACAGCTCATTGTTACCTTAGCAATGACATCCACGATTATCACTACGTGTCCCAAGGCAAGGTCACTGTGCCTTCCATTGATGACAAAGAGGACATGCAGTTCTGTGATGTAAGTGTCTGAGTATAAGTAACATATAAGACATTTATCACACTTTCAGTAACAGCACTATGGAATAAAAACAAAAACAAATATCATTCAACTTACATACCAGCATGAATTAATGTAATGCCTAAAAAATATTTTTCCAACACAGATAAGAGAGATGTTATATCTCAAGCAATAGTCTCTACAATGATTAAGGAAATACATCTGCAGTGAGTAGTCATAACTAGACAACAATTAATAAAAAAAACAAAAACAGTAAGAACAGTAGACCCTTGTTGTTCTTCCGAGTTTCTTGGAGGAATGTCAAAACTTGGTTACGTCTACTGTCATAAACATTATCAGACTATTTTTCTCTTGTTAACATTCAAGACAGCATTACGTCCTCATAAAAATGCCACAATTCATTTTGTAAACTTGATTCACTTAAATGTTTAATCTAGAGTAATTGTTCTTGACTTCTCTATTCAGTAATTTGTTTTAGTCAGAAACCATTTCTCCACAGTGATTCATTCTAATCTTTACTTAACTGATCCTACTCTAGGACGCCTTTGACATCCTTGGTTTCACGAAATTGGAGAAGCAAAATGTCTACAAGCTCACCGCCGCTGTCATGCACTTTGGTGAGATGAAGTTCAAACAGAGGGGTCGCGAGGAGCAGGCTGAAGCCGACGGTACTGAGGTACTTAATGTCCACTGAACTAGTTTAATGTAGGGAATCTCTCAGATATACAAACTGCTACAAAACTTGTACAATTTCTCTTCATCCTGATCCTGATATTTTATGCCATTATTTTCTTGTCCAGGTTGGAGAAACCATCGGCAAACTGATGGGTATGGATGGTGCTGATCTGTATAAAAACATTACCAAGCCCAAGATCAAGGTCGGTGCTGAATTTGTTGCAAAGGGCATGAACGTGGATCAGTGTTTCTACTCCGTTGGTGCCTTGGCTAAGGCTATGTTCGATCGTGTCTTCAAGTTCCTGGTACAGAAGTGTAACGTGACTCTTGAGACTGGCAAAAAACGTTGCTCTTTCATTGGCGTGCTCGATATTGCTGGTTTCGAGATCTTTGATGTAAATATTCCTCGTTTATCGTTTATGTTCATTGTAATTCATTCCTTTGATATATGTGTAAATATATATTGATCGTTACTCATGGTAATGGAATGGAAGTCTAGTCATCACTACAAAGGGTAGGTACTGGATGAGTTCACGTCCTCCATTTATTAACTTTAATTTTCCACGAGCTATTATGATGAAATTATGCTCGTATCTTTTCCATGCAGTTCAACGGCTTTGAACAGATCTGCATCAACTTCTGTAACGAGAAGCTGCAACAGTTCTTCAACCATCACATGTTTGTGCTGGAGCAGGAGGAATACAAGAGGGAAGGTATCAACTGGGTCTTCGTCGACTTCGGTATGGATCTGCAGGCCTGCATCGAGCTCTTTGAGAAGGTAACTGTCCTTCTGACATCTTGCTATATGTCACTAAGCTACTCGAACTTCAAAACTAAAAAATAAGTAAAGCACAGTCTATGTATCAAACCTAGTAGCCATAGTGGAAATTTAGACTGATCTTTCGCACAATGCTTCTTTTATTTAGAAAAGTCAAGTGTGTACACGATTGATAAGTTTTATGTACATCTTAGTTATTGTTTATAATGTAGTCCTTAGAATGTGTCTTTACAGTTCCCCAAAATTCGCAAAAATCTGTTTATTTGATTTTTTTCCTAACGCCTTAGACAGTTTTAAGGCATCCTTTAACTTACTCAACCACCAGTGACTGTGGGGTTAATTTTGTTCATAATTCAACAGAAAATGGGTCTCTTGTCCATCCTAGAGGAAGAGTCTATGTTCCCCAAGGCTACTGACAAGTCCTTCCTTGAGAAACTGAACGCCAATCATCTTGGAAAGACTCCTGTCTTTATCAAGCCCAAGCCAGTGAAGGGCGGTGGCGCTGAATCTCACTTCGCCATTGTCCACTACGCCGGTACTGTGAACTATAATTTGGCTGGCTGGCTCGAAAAGAACAAGGATCCCCTCAACGACACTGTTGTTGACCAGATCAAGAAGTCCAGCAACGAGCTCGCCGTTCATCTGTTCATTGACCATCCTGGCCAGTCAGCTGCCGCTGATCCCAAAGGTGATTTCATAGCAACCAGCTGTTTTTTTTTTCGTTCTCCAGTAGAACCCACAGTATTGGAACTTAGATAATGCCTTATCTAAGCTGTTACTTTACCATTCAAAATTTCCGTTTTGATTATTCATTTTATAACTGTACTCAAATGGTGTTGATGACATAGATATAACAAGGAGTTCAACTGAATTATTTTGTGTTAATTTTTAATATCATAAATCTAATAGTGTAGAGATGTTTCTCGCTTAAACATATTAAATTTTCTAGCGTAGAGAGCTAGTTAGTAAAGTTTCATCGAATGTTTACACAATACATGATACTTATAACGCTTGAACAGTGCTCGAATACAATGTGTGAATTATTGTTATACTCAGGTGGTCGTGGACAGAAATCTGGTTCCTTCAAGACCGTGTCCTCTGCTTACAGGGTACGTAGAAGTTTCCTCTGTATGTTGTGTTATTGAAATTAGGAAGAGAGTAGTAACTAAGGCCTTATCGTTTCTCCTCTGTTACTAAAATTACTCGCTCAATCTGGCCAATTGAAATGTTAGCAGAGGAGCCTGCCCTCGATAAAAAAGATGTGTACTTCCAAGGTGTGATAAAGATACTTTTACTCTCAACAACCTTAAAATAGGGACGTATTAACCCTTGAGCTGTTTAAAAACACCTCGTAATGATTTTTTTAATAGACTGAATTATCAGTGTCAGTGAATTTACTCATTGAAGAATGTGAAGATGATACAAATATTGTGTTGCATAAATATTATCACATATAAGTATTTGCATTTGTTCAGCCCAATTCACCTCATCTATCATGTTCTCTCCCACAGGACCAGTTGAACAACCTGATGAAGACCCTGAACGCCACTCACCCTCACTTCATCCGTTGTATCGTCCCCAACGAGACCAAATCTCCCGGTACGTCGGCGAAGGTTTTGTCCAGTCTTTTACGATAGCTTTACCATGTCCTGCAAGCATATAGAAACAACACAATGAATGAATATCAACTACACAAAAGTTTGTCTTGGTCTATGGCATTTTTCATAATTTTAAAACCAAATTTAATGCATGTATGTAAAGATCTAGTTACACATGCGACTTTGTTCTTAGTTCTGTATTAACAAGTTCCCTTTAATTTTCCTTAACACTGGAATTTTAAATTTGTCTGAGATCGGTTGTGTTAGGGAGTAATAATCTGTCTCTCCTCGCAGGTGTTATTGACGCCGGTCTTGTTATGCACCAGCTGACTTGCAACGGTGTACTTGAGGGTATCCGTATCTGTCGTAAGGGCTTCCCCAACAGGATCCCATACAAGGACTTTAGGCACCGGTGAGTTAACTTTCCTACAAGACTGGTATTGTAACTACTGAACAAATGTATAACTTGCTATTTAAGAGGTAGTAATGACACGAAACGCTCTAGTCTCTGCTGACAATTGATTTTATCCCCACCACTCTTGTCATCTTGCCTGTCCCATGTCCCAACCCTCCGCTCCCCCTACAACTGCCCCTCCCCCATTATATTCCAACCCCGAGAAGGTTCAATCCCGCTTCGATTATCCCTCCCCTCCCACTCCCCCTCCCCCCTTCGCCCTCCCTCCCCTTTTCCATTCCCTCAAAACAGCGGCTTCTTCCTTACCGCCGACTTCTCACTATTTTATGTCTTACTTATCTCAATACTTTTTCATGAAGTCGAAAAAATTATACATTGGTTCTTTTCATATTCCTTTTATAAACATCATATCTTGAGGCCTTTTCCTCATTACCTTTCCATCTGGTTCAAAGGCTTAGCTGTAAGTGTTCGCCAAGATAGTTTGTATTTATTTCCAACCTAAGTACATATACAGCACTAAAACTGTATACACAGTACTAAAACTGTCCAAGAAATAGGTAGTCTACCTTAACTTTTGTACTTTTTTTTAGCAGCCAGTATCATTAGCTCAGGGGAAGGCACTGCCCTCCAGATGGCACCAGACCCTTGAGTCACTTCCCTATGTATGCTCCTGCACGTGTCTCATGGACGCCCCCTTCCTCCCGTAGCTACATGATCCTCGCCCCCAAGGAGCTGAATGAGATCGAAGATGATAAGACGGCCGCTAAGGCTTGCTTCGATAAGGCCGGTCTGAATGAGGAGCTGTACCGCACTGGCAACACCAAGGTCTTTAAGACATTCAAAGTCACCCCCAACCTCCCGATCTGACTGATAACCATCTTTCCCTTTGCACCCTCAGATATTTTTGCTGCATCGTGTACATGAGGATATGTTGACCCTTATTGCATTTCTTCTTAACCATATATATGTTTCTGTATATCCCTTGCCCGCCGAATTACCTGTCATTGCCCTCAACAGCCCTTGATGTCAGTGGCTTCGGGGTAGAAACTGCTCCATATTGTGATTGCCCTACATTTTCCCGTACTTATGTCTGCCCATCACCCAAGTTTTCTTACCTCCACTTTTCTCCCATTCCCGATATAACACTTCCCAAGGCTAACAAGTGGAAACTTTCACTATAAGAAAGAGTTATGTTGATAGTTTTATGTGAGAACCAAAGATGTATTATCAGAACTTTGGTAAAGGTTTACCCCTGACTAATGTTTAATAGATCATTTGAATGCCAACTATTACCCAATCCCGTATGTGGCTTTACCCTTTCTTGATTATTCCCCCGCCAAGGGAAAGTTTTATCGTTTCCAGTAGTATTTGTTTTCTAATATTTATTGCATGAAATGATTTATTATAATGTATTTTTCCAATCACAGGTGTCAAAACACATTGGCGGAGGTGAATAACGGTACACAACTGTATACTTATAACGACACTCAAATTTTTAAGATGCTTTACCATTCCCCAATCCCTCCTCCTCATCCTATGATATTAAACTCAATTACGAAACAATACTTTCTCATACAAACCAACGAAGTTAGGATCTGTTGCAAATACATGGAAAATAACTAGAGTTATTCCTATATCCTTTTACGATATCTAAACGTAGTATGAATTTGTTGCTTTGCAAATCAATGGTTGCAGCAAGGTTTACCTGAAGGTGGGTATACAGACACCACTTAAAACCAACAAGTATAATCAATTTCTCCTCCAATACGCTGTTCTCCCTTTGCGTCCCATAAGGTATTTGTTATATGCCTAGAGTGTGTTAATAGTTTGGTCTCGGACAGTTTGGGTCGTAGAACCGGTTGCAATAACTTATCGCACACATTATCACGTACAGGTGTTCTTCCGCGCTGGTGTCCTGGGTACACTGGAGGAGATCCGTGATGACAAGCTCGCCAAGCTGATCACTGGACTGCAATCCTGGGTCCGAGGTTTCACTAGCCGTAAGGGTTACAAGAAGCTCCAAGAGCAGCGCGTTGCCCTTATCGTTGTCCAGCGTAACTTGAGGAAGTTCATGAAGATGCGCACCTGGGCTTGGTTCAACCTGTGGCAAAAGGTCAAACCTCTCCTCAACGTCACCCGCATTGAAGACGAAATGAAGGCTTTGGAAGAGAAGGCGGCTAAAGCTCTGGAAGAACTGGAGAAAGAGACCAAGCTACGTAAGGCACTTGAAGCTGCCAACATGTCCCTTCAAGAGGAGAAGAACAACCTTATTGCCACTCTCGATTCGACCAAGGGCAATGTATCCGATTTCCTTGACAAGCAGGCCAAACTTCAGAGCCAAAAGAACGACCTGGAGGCTCAGCTTAACGTAAGTATACCATTATTTTGTTCTATAATAAAAATATCTTATACTAAAATATTTTTTAAAGATAAGTGTTGAGCATTATATGTTCGGGTTAGATCTTACTAACCCTGAAGTTTGGGGATCTCACAATATGTTGTTTTGGAGATATTTCTTTACCTTCGTCATAAAAAAATTATATATTTTATCAAGTCTTGCTGTACTAATAGTACCTAGTATCTTTTTACAAAATTGTACCTATTATTAAGAGATTCAGACCTTAAGAATATGTATTCCACTGTAATGGGGATCCTCATATGGTTGTATTCTTTCATCTTCAGGAAGTTCAGGCCCGCCTCCAGCAGGAAGAGGATGCTCGTAATATGCTCTTCCAAGGAAAGAAGAAAGGTGAGCAGGAAATGAGCAGCATGAAAAAGGATCTTGAGGATATGGAACTCGTGGTTCAGAGGCAAGAACAAGAGAGAGCCACCAAGGATCATCAAATCCACAGCCTCAACGAGGAAATTGGCCACCAAGAAGAACTAATTAACAAGGTCAACAAAGAAAAGAAGCACCTTCAAGAATGTAATCAAAAGACCGCTGAAGACCTCCAGGGCGTCGAGGATAAATGCAACCATCTTAATAAGGTCAAAGCTAAGCTCGAACAGACACTTGATGAGCTTGAGGACTCTCTTGAACGCGAAAAGAAACTCCGAGGAGAGATCGAGAAGTCAAAGAGGAAGGTTGAAGGTGACCTCAAGCTGACACAAGAGGCCGTTGCAGACCTAGAGCGCAACCAAAAGGAAGTTGAGAGCACCGTTCAGCGCAAGGATAAGGAAATTACCAGCCTTGCTGGCAAGCTCGAAGAAGAACAGATCCTTGTTTCTAGAACCCAGAAGCAGGTCAAGGAACTGCAGGCACGCATTGAAGAACTTGAACAGGAGGTTGAACATGAACGTCAATCTCGTTCCAAGGCTGAAAAGGGCAAAGCAAACTTGACCCGTGAACTGGGAGATCTCAGTGACCGATTAGAAGAAGCTGGTGGTGCTACCGCCGCTCAGATCGAGTTGAACAAGAAGCGTGAATCAGAACTGGCCAAACTTCGTCGTGACTTGGAGGAGACCAATATCCAGCAGGAGGCCGCCCTAGCTAACCTTCGCAAGAAGCATAATGATGCTATCAACGAGATGTCAGATCAGATTGACCATCTCAACAAGATGAAAGCAAGGTAAATATTTATTAATTAAGTTCTTGCAGGTTTATTTACCGATAGCATACCTGTTTACAGTATATATATTTCCAGGTATATTATGTTTACTTTCCTGTACCACCAAATCAATGTATTCTTAGGTTTTAAGACTAACAACAACTTCTCATTTTAGGTCCGAGAAGGACAAGGACGCCATGAAGCGTGAGGCCGATGATGCTAAGGCTGCCATGGACGGACTTTCTCGCGACAAGGTAAACTTGATTTTCTTCACTTTTATCAGTGTCCTTGTCGTCTGGTTTACCCAGTTATTAAAGAATGCCGTTTAAAAGCATTTGTTACCCGATAGAACTATTAAGAAGCTGATCAATTGCATAAATATATGCTGTACTTATTTTTTCTTTCTTTCGTAAGGCTGGTGCTGAGAAGATGAACAAACAACTCCAGCACCAAATCAATGATGTCCACTCCAAGCTTGATGAAGCTAACCGTACTCTCAACGATTTCGACGCTACTAAGAAGAAGCTTGCCACAGAAAACACAGACCTTGTGCGTCAATTGGAGGAGGCTGAGAGCCAACTTGGTCAGCTGTCCAAGATTAAGCTGTCACTTTCTAACCAACTTGAAGACCAGAGGAAACTCGCCGATGACGAAAGCAGGGTAATTTTCAAGCTTTTCAAAAACTGAACATATGTATAATAAAATTCATAAGTAAAAAAGATCATATAATACCTATTTCACAATTTGTTCAATTCTTCTTTCTTCACAGGAGCGTGCTACCCTTCTTGGTAAGTACCGCAACCTCGAACACGACATCGATGGTCTTCGTGAACAGTTAGAAGAAGAAAGCGAGGGTAAGGCTGATGTTCTGCGCCAGCTGTCCAAGGCCAGTGCTGAGGCTCAAATGTGGCGCTCAAAGTACGAAACTGAAGGCATCGCCCGTTGCGAGGAACTTGAGGGTGCCCGCCTGAAGCTTGCTGCTCGTCTTGAGGAGGCCGAAGATCAGATCGAGCAACTCAATATCAAGAACATGAATCTGGAGAAGACCAAACAACGCATTGCCACTGAACTTGAGGATATGCAGATCGAGGTTGAACGTGCCCAGGCCTTGGCTAATGCCGCTGAGAAGAAACAAAAGAACTTCGACAGAATCATCTCAGAATGGAAGATGAAGGTTGATGACCTGGCTGCCGAACTGGATGCTTCTCAGAAGGAATGCCGTAACTACTCCACTGAACACTTCCGCATCAAGGCAGCCTATGAGGAGAACCTTGAAACACTAGATGCTGTCCGCCGCGAGAATAAGAATCTAGGTGACGAGATCAAGGACTTAATGGACCAGATTGGCGAAGGTGGCCGAACACTTCATGAAATCCAGAAGACTGCTAAGCGTCTTGAGATCGAAAAGGAAGAGCTTCAGGCTGCTCTTGAGGAGGCTGAGGCCGCCCTTGAACAAGAGGAGAACAAGGTGCTTCGTGCCCAGCTTGAACTTAGCCAAGTGAGGCAGGAGATCGACAGACGTATCCAGGAGAAGGAAGAAGAGTTTGAAAATACTCGGTAAGTTGTCAAGGGATACGCTTTTAATAGGATAATGGAATGTTGAGTAACACCTCTTGGCTCTCATAGATACATAAAAATAATATGTGTGTTCAGTAAATATTTCACTTAAAGAAACTGCAGTTTAATTTTAGTGGACTTATTAGACTCACTTTATAATCTCCGTTTTTCTTATATACACAAATTTCAGATTCCTCCTTTATCCATTTTTAATGACTCCTTACTTCTCGACAGCAAGTGCCACCAGCGTGCCATTGACTCCATGCAGGCTTCCCTTGAGGCTGAAGCTAAGGCTAAGGCCGAAGCTCTGCGCCTGAAGAAGAAGCTGGAGTCTGACATCAACGAGCTCGAGATTGCTCTTGATCATTCCAACAAGGCCAACGCAGACCTGCAGAAGCACGTCAAGAAACTCCAAGGTGAAATTAAGGATCTACAGATTCGCGTGGAGGAAGAACAGCGTCTTGCCTCAGAATACAGGGAACAGTACGGCATTTCCGAACGCCGAGCCAACGCACTCAATGGAGAATTGGAAGAATCCCGCACCCTCCTCGAACAGTCTGACCGTGGTCGTAGACAGGCCGAAGCTGATCTTGCCGAAGCTTCCGAAAATATTGCTGGTCTCACTGCTCAGAACGCTTCCCTTAACGCAGCTAAGAGGAAGCTTGAGGGAGAGATGCAGACTCTGCATGTAAGATTTATTTTTATTATAAAGTAGTCGTACCGATACGGTTTGTGATATGCCAAATTATGTTTATTGTATTTTACAGCAAACTCTATAAATAACACTCCTTTATTCTATTAATTACAGGCTGACCTCGACGAGATGCTGAACGAAGCCAAGAACTCAGAGGAGAAGGCTAAGAAGGCCATGGTTGACGCCGCCCGCCTGGCTGATGAACTCCGCGCTGAGCAGGAACACGCCCAGACCCAGGAGAAGATGCGCAAGGGTCTGGAAGTATCCCTCAAGGAAATCCAGATTCGTCTCGAAGAAGTCGAAACCAATGCTCTGAAGAACACCAAGAAGGCTGTGGCTAAACTGGAAGGCCGCGTGCGCGACCTGGAGAGCCAGCTGGATGATGAATCCCGTCGCCACTCTGACGCCCAGAAGAACCTGAGGAAGTGCGAGAGGCGCATCAAGGAGCTCACCTTCCAGTCCGATGAGGACAAGAAGAACCACGAGAGGATGCAGGATCTTGTTGATGCCCTTCAACAAAAGGTCAAGACCTACAAGCGCCAGATCGAGGAGGCCGAGGAGATCGCCGCCCTGAACTTGGCCAAGTTCCGCAAGTCCCAGCAGGAGCTGGAGGAAGCCGAAGGGCGCGCGTAATTCTGGACAGAAGTCTATGTTAGAAGAGTTGAAGAGATCATTCAAGAACAGTACAAAGCTTGATTAGTTCAATCCTTGCACTGGTTAACAGCTCTTGGACGGTACTGATGCTTACACTATGCAATATAAAAATTTTATTGGTCCTATTCAATATTTCTTAGGGGTATACAATACACAATACACTAATGTTGGTAATAAATGTGAAACCAGTGCAAATGTATATCCACTCAATTGCTATCCATAAACTTGCAAAAAAAATTAAATAAATATTCCGAAAATTTCCTATTTACATTTGTATTGACTATATTATGTATAGGAATCTTAATAAATATCTAACTGTAACATGTTTTTCATATATATTTAACTACTTATGGACTGATATATATATATATATATATATATATATATATATATATATATATATATATATATATATATATATATATACATTGATTGATTGATACAAACTAATCTCACAGGAAAAGGAAAACACTGCAGCACCTTACTGAAAACTTTAGTCTTTATTCAAGACATCTTGAGAGGCAACTGAATTTACATAATGAAAATAATAAAAAGCAAGTGGCAAGGGTTGAAGAAGGATCAGTGAAAGGGTAAAGAACATAAGAACATAAGAATGGAGGAAACTGCAGCTGTCCTATTGGCCCATACTAGGTAACCTCGTTTACACTCAACCCTCATCATTCATATATCCGTTCAACCTCTATTTGAAGCGCCAGTAATTCATCTGCTGTGACAGGGGATAAGAACAGCTTATTTTGCTGTCTGTATTGCAGATAAGCTCTAAATTCCTCATGGTGATCAGGGATGCTCTCTGCAAGATTTTTGCCAACAGGAATAAAATATTCATTGAAGTGGTTGGAAATGAGGGAGGATTCCGTTACAACTGAATCATTTATCATAAAAGCTGAGTGAGAGGCCGAAGGCTGAGTGTTCCTGTTCTGAATAGAATTTTTGACATTCCAGGTTTTCTTACCGTATCCTGATGCTGACTGGAGCTTATTTGTATAATAGCTACGTCTGGCATTTCTAAATGCTTAAGTTACTCTATTTCTGATACTTCGGTAAGCATCACCGAAAGTTAAGGGTCTTTTTGCAAATTTCCTTTGGAGTTTGTGTTTTTCTTATATCATTATCTCAATTTCGCTTGTGATATAGGGTTTGGAAATGGATACAGTTTTCACTGACTTAGTCTTGAGGGGGAAGCATTTACAAAGCAAGAATCAAGATGCAAGAGAAGTTGCAGCTGTTCACGTTAGGGTTGTCGGAGGCATAGACAAGATCCCAGTTAGCATTCATTAGGTTGTTTTAAAAATGGAGCATGCTGTCGGTGCAGTAGTCTCTGTATTGTATTGAGACTCTACTAGACCTTTCAGGTCTTGTGGCTGTTTTATACATGGCAAAAACTGGGAAGTAATCTGAGATATTGTTATAAATAATTCCACTTGTAAGATTGTTAGGAGTGTTGTTAGTCTAGATATGATCTATCACAGTGGCAGAGGCGGCAGTTATTCTAGTAAGTTTGGTTATAGTGTTGAAGAAGAGTTTAGAATGACAGGTAGCAAGAAGGTCTAATACTGAGGTGTCGGTTTCTGATTTTAATAGATCAAGATTGAAATCTCCTGTAATGTAGCAACGTTTCCTCTCTGAACTTATGATAGTGATAAGCTCCGAAAATTTATCAAGAAAATTCCTTACATTAGTGTGGGGTTTTCTGTAGATTACTCCAACTAGGATATTTCGTGTGCCATTACGTAACTCAATGAAAACACTCTCCATGTACTCCTCCTGAACCTTTAAATCGTCTGTTACAGAAGTGTTATACTTGATATCAACATATAGGGCGACACCACCACTGTGTCGTAACGTGTTTACGCAGTGTCTATTATAATTAGGAATGTTATACAAATGGTCAATATCGTTAGTGAGTTTGGTGTCACAGAACCCAAGTACATAAAACTTGTGGGCAATAGAAGATAAACACTGATCTAAAACGGTATCTGGATGAAGGGGAATACTACTGATGTTATGGCTAATCAAGGAGAAGGAATGAGGTAGTAGAAGACTAGAACTATACTCGGGAGAGTCAGGAAAGTAACAGTTATAGTTGGGGTTGGTGTAACCCAGTAGGGTGTGTCATAGGAGGGAAGATCAGCTAAAACTAATGGCCCATCACTTCTTTGGTAGATTTTAGTGTATATAAACAGTAAATAATTTCAGTTTCAATATTTTGCAACCTTTTGCTAGGTAAATTTTAGCGTGAAATTTATCGAAAATCTAACGTACAGCTGCATTAGTGCATTACAATTAAATAGTGAACATTGCTTTCTGACTTCATTCTTTAACAACCCAACTAACAATATTTTTTTCTGTTTCAGATTCTGATGCATTTATAAGTTGATAATATTTGCGATGGCTGCTTGTGTCAGGACGAGGAACCAAAATCCAGCCATCTCAGTCACTATCTTGGGTCTGGGAGAGAGCTCCTGAAGTCGGAGTTGCCTACATTGAGAGATGCTTTGAGATACGGTGTTTTAATCAGGCAAATCAGTGAAAAGAACCAAAGAACTTACACAAACAAAGACATTGCCAGTGATATGACCAAAGCTGTCTTGGCACAGTACACTCTGGCTAACGCTCAGTTCAAGCCTCCAGTCATAACAAGTCAGAAGAAGATTAGTGAGAGACTGCTAGCCAGTTGGGAAAAGGCAAGAGATATCTCTCTTGGGAGAGGAAAACTTGCAGTTAAGGACAGCTTTGCCAAGCAACTGGACCAGTTATTTGACATAATTACTTGCAAGTGCCCAATTGTTCTCTGTCCTGAGTTTGGATGCGATCGTGACTGTAAATCTGAGGGCCCACATCTCCAGTTTTGCAAGCGTAACTGAAGATTCCTGTGATCGGAACTGGCATTTGTCAAAGCACAGAGAGAGAAGACTGGCAGTATAGGGGCTCTCATGATTTCTAGCCAAGATATTCCGGAGTCCAAGAGACAGGAGGCTGCCACAGAGAGACAGAAGAGGAGAAGAGTTGCCGAGGAAAAGAGACTTGAGAAGGCCCAGGGTGAGGTAAAAAAGGCCGATGATTGGAGTCAAGCTGATTCAGAGTTGTTACGAGTTGGGGATTTAGAATATAGTTAACAGTCTATCCAGATCCCAACAGGTAACAATAATAAAAAAACAAAGACAATCGGACTATAAAAGGGTAGACAAAGGATGCGAGTTTTCGTTGTGTATAATAGAGTACCATAAATCCTTAACAAAATATTCAGCTTATAAATTACCCTTAACCAACTTAACCTAAACATTAACAGTATATACATATTAATACAACATAAACCATTTTGAAGCAAGTGGACGTGGGGGAGGTAATACAAAATACAAGTACTTAAGTGAGGAGCTGAGATGGCTGACGAATAAGGCTGAGTATTGTAGAAGACGGTAGGTAGTCACTGCACGTAGATTTAGAGGATAGATGATCCTGTGGTCACTTCCCAGAGCCAAGTGCTCTCTCCTCGAATTGGAGCGGACAAAGAAGACTTTGAGGAGGTGACGCAACAACCAGGATATGGAGAAGAGAAACCCCGGAGTGGTAACTAAGACGAGTCATACTCGTGTCTCGTCCCTAGATGGCGTTGCTCGTGGTGCTGGGTAGGTAGATCAGGACAATAGATGGCGTGGTTCGTAGTACTGGGTGGAGGGGTTCGTAACAGAGTTTAATGACTTCCCCATGGCTGATCCGAGTGCTGACCAGGAGAATGGTGACTTTGTCCCTAACCCAGAAAATAATGATCCCAAACCTTCCAGGCATAAGATTCGAAATAGGAAAGATATCCCGAGCATAGCTCTGGCCAGCATGCGACACCACACTGGTCTCAGAGAAACTGCAGAGATAGCAACAGCTGCCTGGGTTGACGGTGGTTTGATAACACCACCTGATGATGTTCACCTGGTGATAGATCATAACAAAGTAAGGAGAGCTCAGGAGAAACTTGTCAGTAACCTAGAAGAGGAGTTTGATAAGGGGATAAGAGAAAATGGAATCAATTGTTTGTTCTTTGATGGGAGAAGGCATGACACTAAAGTGTTCATGAAAGTTGGAGATTCTGACAAGTTGTTCCCTGCCATGGTGAAGGAGGAACACTACTCCTGCTGCAGTGAACCAGGAGGGAAGTATTTGTGGGATTTCACTCCAGAGAAAGATGACATCAGGAAACCAGCTGAGATAGTGGCAGATAACATTGTGAACTGGCTTAGAGAGAGGAACGTAGACCAGACCCTGCAGGCCATTGGAGGGGACAGCACCAACACGAACACAGGGTGGCAAGGGGGGTCATACAGTGGATAGAGCGGAAGATTGGGAGGAAGCTGGTCTGGATTGTTTGTGACCTCCACACCAACGAGTTGCCACTCAGACATCTGATCCAGGAGCTGGATGGCAAGACTCTTTCAAACAACAGATGGTCTGGTCCTCTTGGCAAGATGCTGGACTCTGCCACTGAGTTAGAAATAAATCCGAGCTTTGAAAAATCACAGTTGGCCCTCCACTCTGCTGAAATGGCATTATGCTCGTCATTGACTCCACCTGAGTACCGACTCAGTACCATGGTTACATGATTTGCAGTGCCATCAAAACTGGGGTCATGCCTGATAGACTTGCTTACCTGCAGATAGGTCCAGTCTCACATTCTAGGTGGCTCACAACGGCTCTCAGGTTCTGCAGAATTTGGGTCGCTCATCATAAACTGAAAGGGAACCAGCTTCACAACCTGGGACTTATTGTCCAATTCATCGTGAGTGTCTACTTGCCAAATTGGTTCAACACCAAGGTCAAGTCATCGTTCTCCGAAGGTCCGAGGCATGTTCTCTTCCAGCTTGAGCACCTGAGGAGTCAGCCAAGGAAGGTTGTTCAGATTGTGGAGCAGACTGTGAGGAGATCTTCCTGGTATGCTCATCCCGAGGCAGTTCTGCAGACAATGATCTGCAGTAAGGATGAGGAGGAAAGAAGAGTGGCAGTCAAAAAGATCTTGGATATGAGACTTATGAGAGGATCTGGGCATGACGAATCAGTTGGTGACAATTCCTTCAGGGTCAGGAAGACTCCTGAAGTCAATCTAGGTGCCAAGACCCTCACTGATCTCATAGATCTGGATAACATCCAAGCTGGCAGTGAGCCCCCTCTTACCTGCAGCCTCACCAATGTTCAAGTCAGAGCTTTCCTGGACAACCCCATGCATGTCCCTGCCTGGCCCTCACACACCCAGAGTATAGAGCGTTGTGTACAGCAAGTGAGCGAGGCCAGCAGTCACGCAACAGCAGGAGAGG